GCCTGATAAAATTAATTGATGTCGTCAACAAAACAGAAATAGCAAAAGTAATTGAAAATTACCATGAGAGCAAAACAAATCACCGAGAAATCGAAGAAACCGAGCGACGAATTAAGGAAAAATATTATTGGCCCAAACTTGAAAGAATTCATTCAATCATTTATCAATGAATATGAAATTCACCAACGAAGCAAATACGAACGCCACTCAATAAATATGGAAATGAACATCACGCCTTCTGCAACAAAACCATTTGACATCGTCCACCTTGATCCATACACTCTCTATAAGGTTAAATTTTTAACCATTATAGACAGTTTTTCTAAATATGCCCAAGCTTATGCACTTACATCTTTATCCGCTACTGAAATATGTGATAATCTCATATCCTTTTTTTCACATCATGGCATTCCATCGAAAATATTCACAGACATTGGAACTGAGTTCAAAAATACTGTTTTTACTGAATTACTTCAACTTCACAAAATAAAAATACATTTTTGTTTTCCTGAACACCCTCAATTTAACGGCGTAATTGAGAGACTTCACTCAACCCAACCTTATCTGAGCACATAATGGAGACCGTTGACCCTACACGGAAAACCATAACGACGGACACTCTAGGCAAAGTGCACATGGACAATATCAAACGTCCTCTAAGGAACAAATACAATTTTGAAACTTAAGGTAATTTTAATAAATCATAAGTATATTAATATTGGTACTAATAAATATGAATATTATAACCATCACGCTTACGCTTACTAATATTTATTTCAGCTTTCAAACCCATGCATTCGGAAACTAAGAGCAAATCTCCATAAGAAAATTGGACGATAATCCCGGAATTATTCCAGTGAAACTTGGAAAAGCAAAAATTAGAGACTACACCTACTGTTGGAAAATTTCGGTAATTTATGTTTTGGTGACAAATATTACGTAAGTTTGCGTAATATTCGGTGTTCTCGAAAAATTGAACACATTTGAACCTACAGTAATATTCCCGAGAATATTCCTTGAAAAATTACTGAGAAGTTCACGTCAAATTACTATACCGGGTGACAATGAAACTACTACCCATGGCGGCATTTCTTAACGGCTCGAGATAGAAATATGCAACTCGGTTTGTTGATAGGGTTGAAAATTGTGAACAATTTTAATATGAAAACAATTGAATGTATTTTCCGATTTTACCGGAAATGGCAGTTTTTACGTAACATACAAACAAATAGGAAATGAACATCACGCCTTCTGCAATAAATCCATTTGACATCGTCCACCTAGATACATACACTCTCGATAAGGTTAAATTTCTCGCCATAATAGACAGTTTTTCTGAATATGCCCAAACTTGTGCCCTTACATCTTTATCCGCTACCGAAATATGTGATAATCTCATATTCTTTTTTTCACATCATGGCATTCCATCGAAAATAATCACAGACATTAGAACTGAGTTCAAAAATACTGTTCTTACTGAATTACTTCAACTTCACAAAATAAAAATACATTTTTGTTTTCCTGAATACCCTCAATCGAACGGCGTAATTAAAATACTTCACTCAACCTTATAAGAATTTTTAACAATCAAGGATTCCTAAAAACACCAATTAAATATGCAATCTTAGCATACAATTATACGATCCACTCTGTAACCAAACACAAGCCCATTGACATAATCACAGGACACATTAGTCCCAATGATCCATTCGATCTCAAGTTAGATCAACTTCTAATAATAGATTACGTCAAGGAGTACAAAAATAAAACAAAACTTTTGTACCCTAACATGAACGAGTGTCTTATGGATACAAAAAATAAAATAATTGGAAAAAATCAATGAAAATCGTGATAAGCCAACATTATTTAGATTTAGACCAGAACAGAACAGATACGTAATAGTTATTTATATTACTAATAAATTTCCCATGTTCTCCAGCGCTCCATGCTAGAGGTGTAACAGAAAAAAATCATTTTCGTTCTCTATTTAACCTTAGACTTTTTCTAAACATTTAATTCTATTGCATTAAAATTGGCCCGTAATGACGGTTTTACACCAAACCGACTAGTTGAGTTGCTGTTATGCCGGTTTTCCACCAAACGGACTGTTGAGTGTTTGTTTTAAAACATAAACAAAAACAAAACTGAACAGACTCGATTTCATTTTACCGCTTCCGGACGGGACCCAAAAAACAAAACTCCAACTGTCGCAAAACACGCTAGTCTTGAAAATGTTTGAGAAAAGTTGGAGTTTTGTTTGAGTTAAAGTTGTGTTTTTGTTTTGTCGGTTTGTTGGAAAACCGGCATTATGCCGGTTTTCCACTAAACGGACTGTTGAGTTTGTGTTTAAAAACATGTTTTAAAACAAAAACAAAACTGAAATAAACACAAAACTCTTGTTTCCATCAAGCGGACTACGTTATGTTTTCTCGGCGAAACAAAACTCCAACTGTCTCAAAACACGCTAGTCTTGAAATTGTTTGGGAAAAGTTTGAGTTTGGGTTTTGTTTTTGTTTTGTCTGTTTGGTGGAAAACCGGCATGATGTTGCTGTTTTAAAAAACAAAAACTCAACTGTTTTTAACGATAAAACTGTTCACACTAAACAGACAAAAATTAGTTGCTGTTAAGTTTTTGTTTTATGTCGTTTAAATCCGAAAAACAGTTGAAAATAATAAATAATCTTGCCGCGACTACATAAACACACAGCTCACCGCAACACAAGTTGATAACACAGCCGTTTACACCGACTGAGTTGCAACAAATGCAGCAACTCTCTGAGTTACCGACATTGATCGGGAAATGAAAAACAAAACAGCAACTGTTGAGTTGCCGAAAAATCTTCAAAAAATCAGGAAAAAGTTGTATTTTTGTTTTTTTCAACTCGAATTGCTGTTTTGTCGGTTTGGTGTAAATCCGCTTTAAGATGTTCACTTGCCAAACCTGTATATACAAGCTTTAGCTCTCTTTTTCCTGCTCTCTACGTTATATCTCTCTACTCTGTCTTTGCAACGAAGGCCTGTGTTTTAGATATAGCTCTCTCTCTACATTATATATATATTTTTTTTTTCCCCGGTAACGAAATGGGCTCAAACATGACGCGTCTTTTTAATCACTGACCATTCTCGTCCAAATATTAGATTGCTATCTAAGAAGTTTCACTTCAAAACTATCCCCTTCTCATACAACTCAGACTTAACGTAAATCGGGGTAAAGACGAAGGACCACACATACAAAAGGGAGACGCGTAGTGAAGTCCCAAGGGCATCGGCGCTTGATAATAATAGGCAATCCTCTTTGCTTATAATCCTGGGTTTGTGTCAATCGTTCGTCGGCTGTCATTGTCATTGGCCATCTTTCTCCGTCTCTCTACGTAATATCTTCCTTCTCTCTCATGTAACAAAATTTTCCATAACGTGACGTTCCGTGAGGCTTTTTTCAAATCACCCTCCATTCTCATCCCACTATCAGACCGCCTAAGAAATTTCACTCAAAAAATTCCACTGTCCTTATTATCAACTTGAAGAAAAAATTAAATTAACGGAATGAAATTTTTGTGGAATTTTCAAAATTTTTGTGGAACTTTCTGGCATTTTCCCGAGAAACAAAGTAAAACTTTTTGACTAAAATCCAATCCAATAGTCCACTTTAGAGGTATGGGTTGTAAATAACACACTAACGAAAATTATAATTTAAATTTATTTCATCAATAATTAATCAATAATAAAAACAAAACAACGTAACAAAAAGGGTATCTTATGGCTTATCACACATCACTTTATTCACAATGACAGTTACATCCAAAGATATACAGTTTTTTTTAGTAGATATGATATGCTACAGGGTGGGTCAAAATACTTTACACGAGAGAATAATATTTTTTAGATAATTACAATTTGTTAACAATAATATTTACAATTTTTTATGTAGGTACAGAAATATTAATTGAGAGATGAATAATTCTTTGAAATTTAATGGGGTAAAAATTAATGACTCAGGTACTCAACTAGAAAATAAATTATTGCACATTCAAAGAAATAAACTAAAATTAAATTATACAAAATTTCTTTTAGGCTTATGATTCAGTTAATAGCTACTATCCTTGCGTATTATATATCTTAGGTTTGCCTAATAATCTTTGGTAAAAGAAAGGAAGGCAAAGACTATTAAAATATCACATTTTTATGTAAGAAAAATTAATCAATGAACAAACAAATATTTTTACTTTTTTTTAAGACAAGTTAATAGCCTTTTATACAATAATAATTATTAAGTATAAGATACTAATTATTAAAAGTTAAGTAATTTTATATACACAAAACTTTTGGACTATCGAAAATTATAAAAAAAATATCCGCAATTTTTGAGTGTATGATAAACGTTGTCTTATTTGCATATATTTTTTTTACAAACAATAAAGGTGTAAAAATTTCTAAAACGGAGTAATATGAGATGGGTGGCATATTTTCGAAAACCAAAGATAGGTTTGTCGAATTCAGCCAGCTGACGGTCGATATGACGACAAGAAAATTGACCTCTCTATTTGCACCAACTATATTCCATTGGCAATCTAGGTGTGGTAAGTTTGACAATAAAAAAAAAAAACAAAATGAAAACACACTGGAGAAATTAAAGTTACTGGCATAATAAATTATTGTCCTAATTATTTGGTAAGGATCACGTTTTATTTATAAGTAATTTTCACAGGCATTCATATATTTTAAAAACACAAAATGATGCAATAATAATTTAAAAATTAATATACAAAAGTTGAATAAACTCATCGATGTCTGAATTTTTGAAAAATATTACCATGATTTCATTTTTTAATTTACATAATATTTTTCGATTGTTTAAATGGCATTTTAAAATGTAATAAAATATTTTAGATTTTTTTTCTTTGGCTAATAAATTGCATAACAATTTTAAATTCAAAAAATCTCTTAATTATCGAATGCCTATAAAAATCACTGATGGGTATACCTATTTATATCTACACCATTCAATCACGATCACTATGATGATACTGACCAGGTTGTGTATCGTACAAAGACATCTTCAGTCTCTTACATTTGGCTCGTCTATTCTTAAACCAAAACTGTACATTCTTTGGTTCTAATCGAGGAAATTTTTGCCTATAGGCCATTAAATTCAACTCTTCAGTGTATTTAATAATAAGATTATGCGAAGGATGAGTATTCAACGAGAACCATTGTTCCAACCTTGGTACCTCAGTAACTGGATCAATGAAAGTTCTATTTCTTTTACGTCTTTCGTCCACTGTTAAATTCGACATGTTCAATGCGCTGGAACAACTTGAAGGGACTGAATGTGAAAGACTCGGAATGTACTGGCTCATATACATAATGTTATGACTGAACATTGTGTTCGGTACCAAAGGGAACCCTGAGGCTGCCAGATGCTCAAGGCTTTCATGGTTTCTTCGTATGAGTTGGTTACTCAAATCAGGAGATAAACGATGAGGTATCGATCTACTGGGCGAAGATGGTCCATCATCGAAGTGACTTTTACTGTCGTCTTCAGTTTCGCGGTCAGCGTCGTCATTGTACAGGACTTTGTTGTTGTTATTGATATGGTCGCCAGATGAATAGTTTACTGGTTCGGTTTTGGGTTCTTCTTTTAATTTTTCAATCTGCAAAAGAGAAATCAAGAATTTGTAAAGGGCATGGAAAACTATTCAGGAAAATTAAAGCCTGGGGCAGCACATGAAAATATACTGAAACGATTAGAGGGAATCGAACGAATATACAATGTACATTTAACTTGATAGAATTGGAACTATAAATATATTAACATTTTTACTGATATATATATTTTTTTAAATTCATTGTGTCTTTTCCCCTACGAGAAGAGGGAAAAGCCGGCAAAGGGCCACGTCCTGATATTTGGTGTTGGAGAAGAGGACGTGAAGACAAAGATCATCGAAGAACTTTCTTAAACTTTCGTAGTCAAACTGTAATAGATATAACACTATGTTCTGTATTATTATCAAATTTAATCCATAATTGGCGCGTATCTGACGAAGTTTCTATGTCGGATTACCGATGGATAACTTCTACATTAAACTGCTCGCCTAAAACTACAAGATCTTATCGTGACATTCGTGACCAAAAAAAAACCAATATTGCCCAGTACGTGCGAGGTCTGGAAAAAGCTCTACGAGAGGTTGCAGCTAAAACACGAAATGATGACCAAGAATTGGAGCAGTATGCTAATACCGGGTGGGGCACGAAAAACTTTCCACCCAGGTTTTCTCAGGTGCTAGGTGTTTAATCAAAAATCGCTCAGACACGTCAATTTTTGTTTTTTGGGGGACACATTTTATTGGTATTTTCTCCCCCTACCTGTGAACCCTTAAGTGGGGGTAACAGGTACCCCCAAAATTTCAAATGGAAAGAGGGGTCGAGTGATATGTCATTTGGTAGCTATTTTCATTGGGATTATATCCCCGAAGTTTTAAGTTGCTACTATTAACCCAGCCGAAATGGCGGCATGTCAAAGTTAGGATAAATGCTTTTTTTCGATCATCTAAGCTGTATAGTTTTCACCTGTCACACCTATGCGTAGGTAACAGGTAAAAACCACACAGCATTTTTCCATTGATTTTTCCTAACTTTGACAAGCCGCCATTTCGACAGGGTAAATAGTAGCAACTTGAAACTTCGGGGATATAATCTTAATGAAAATAGCTATCAAATGACGTATCACTCGACCCCCCTTTTCATTTGAAATTTTGTGGGTACCTGTCACCCCCACTTAGGGGTTCACAGGTAGGGGGTGAAAATACCAATAAAATGTGTCCCCCAGAAAACAAAAATTGACGTGTCTGAGCGATTTTTGATTAAACACCTAACACCTGAGAAAACCTGGGTGGAAAGTTTTTCGTGTCCCACCCGGTATTATCCAAGGTGCCATCATAAAATCCTATAAGATGTCGAGTTGCAAAACTCTGGTAACATCTCTGCTTGGTGGTGTCAGGAACTGGAACACCTCAGGGCGATGACAAGAAAATCTTTCAATAAAGCTAAAAACACCAAAGGTACCTACTCAACCAGTATAAAAAAGTCGTACGACAAAAACAAAGAGATGCCTAGAGGACATACTGCAACGAAACAGAAAACTATACGGAAGCGGCCAGACTTCAGAAAGCTCTTAATAAAAACCCATTTCGGGAAATTGGTATCCTGTGCAAGGAGGATGGCACCTTCACTGCCAACCACAATTGTGGAAGATTAGACGTAGGTAACATATTGTCTGTCGTTTTTTATCTGACACTTTCTGTATGAGGAGCTAGGGAGTGAAGCTTATGGCAAAAACAGGTGTGACGTCCAATGGTCACCTGACGTCACACCTGTTTTAATGTAGGGAGCCACCAGCTCACATTCTTTTGGAGTATCAGATTAAAATCGACGGACTTTACATACACCAGCTATCATTCCTTTGGAGTGTCAGATTAAAATCGACGGACTTTACATACCCCCTGTGGCTGATTGCCAACTAGCGAATCAGATAATATACGAGGAAAAAAAGGGTTGGGCAATTTCAGGCTTCTCCGCCTTCAAACCACCGGGATATGACGGCATCTATCCAGCCCCACTTCAGTGGAGTCTAAAGCCACTCTTGCCGCATCTGGTAGGGATGTTCAAGGCGTCTATGGCGCTGGGATACATACCCAAGGCTTGGAGAGAAATTAAAGTGGTGTTCTTAACCAAACCAGGAAGGATGGACTACACCACCCCCAAGGCATATCGCCCCATAAGCCTCTCATCATTTTCTCTAGAAGAAAAGCGTTAACATTAAAGCAATGCTCACAAGAGGCTGTCCGCAGCATGAGGCGTGCTGCCCCTCCTGTGAAACATGATTCTGGACAGCCTCATTGTCCGCCTAAACAATGACAACCACTACACAATAGCTCACGCAGATGACGTAGTCATCTTGCATAGAGGTAAATTCGAGAACTCGCTTTGCGAATGCATGCAAAGTGCTCTTCAAATTATAGAAAGATGGTGCACGGAATACACTCTGTCCATCAACCCCAAAAAGACTGAAATGGTCCTATTCAGAAGAAAGAGAAAACTGGTAATTCCGACAGCACCCAAACTCCTAAACGCCGAACTTCTTGTGAGTGACACTTCACACAGACAACATCGCGCTAAAATTGGTCGAAGAAAATGACTACATTCTCGACCAAATAGGTTCGCCGAAAAATAAAAAGTGAGAGAATAGGGTTCACCGAAGAAGACTCAACACAGAAACAGTAAGAAATAGTCTATAAATTGAGTATTTAAAGCAAAATTCCAAAAGTAAAAATTAAAAAACATAACCTCATTTTTGCGTTCTCTCTCACTTTGCTAAAATCGCCAAAATAAACAAGGCCATCGACGGAAATATAAGCCTACAGCGACGTTGCCAGACGCCGATAAAACTTCGCATGGGATTAGTATAAAAGCTACGTGCTATCGATATATCGAATATCGATCGTATCTATCGATCGATTCTACGAAGAAACAGCTGACCTCCTACTCGCCGGGCATCCCAAGGAGGCAAAACAAAAACATAACCAAAAGTTCATGGTGAATAGGATATTATAAATATTATTGTCATAATAAATATTCGAAATGAGCTATAAATGTCACAAACAGTCCACACTGTTTTGCAGTTCACAAGTCATGTTGGGGAAGGCAAAAAAACTGGGTTCATATCGTAGACCAGAAAATCTATTGTTCTCTACTCTGCGAAATGGAAGCTGAAACAAAAAGACAACTACATTTGTCAGATGGAACTAGAGAAGCGAAATTTCACCAATATCAGATGGAGGAAGAACATATGAAAAAAGTTGACACCTATAGTCAGAAAATTAACTTGTTAAAACAGGAGCTAACCAGAGTACACAGACTTGTGAAAAATGGAATCAAGCAAACCTGAAACCAGCGAAAAGTATTGCCAAACATTTACCTCAAACATTGAGACTGAAACACAGACAGATATGGTGATGGAAAGAGAAATATCCTGTGGAACACAAACAGAGGGAAAACCAGAGGAACCTACGTTGACAGAGGAAGACATTGATCTGTTGTACAAGCTTACTAAAATTTGCCCTGATAAAATATTACAGAGAGAGGAGCAGTCAGTGCAGACTGAGATGCGGGAGGAAGTGCCTTTAGAAGAGCAGAGTTATGAACAAAGTAACAATACTAACATCGAAAGTCATTATGAGCACAAAAGAAGGCCACAGCTGCTTATAATAACAAATTCATGGCAATATAGCAATCTCTATTGGGCAAAAAAATATACTTACAATTTTGACCTAAATTGCCAATACATGAAAGGAGCAAATTTTGATGAACTAATTCATCGCAATATAGAATATATGCATAAATGAAGAGATTTGATAAAGTACTTATATTTCTAGGTCCGCGGAAACAAAACACATCAAACTGATGGTAGTGGGATGCCAAAAATCTCAAAAAAGAACCATTCTAAACGAGCTTATACAGGAAGTCAACATGAAAATCCAAGAAATGCTCATGAATAGTAAAGCATCGTATATTGACAGTAACCAAATTGTTAAACCGCAGATCATCTCAAATGATTTATTTATTTTGGAATAAGGACAATCTCAGGCAGCTTTTTCTGCAGTTTTGTGAGACTTATATATTTAGTAAAAATGAAAATATGAGAATAAATCTAGAAACATCTCTCCATGACGAATTAAGGTATGTCCGGGAAAATGACAAGTTTTTGAAGAGGCTAGAAAATCTCCGAAGATCAGCACACAAACCTCCATCGCTAAAGCAGGGAAACCGCAAACATCCACTCCTAAACAATCGAAAATAATTATTCATCAGAATATAAGAATTAAAAGTCCGTACGCAGAAAATACGCCACTACAGGGACAATTGCAACAAGGCAATAGTAGGTACATAAGTACCTACCACTCAATGCAAATGGAAGAACGGTATTTTTTTCCCTTCAAAAAACACATTGACACAGGATGGCACAAAAAACACACAAAGTTGGAAAGAAGAAGGATGGAAGGACACATCGCTGTCTACTGAAAAGACACTGATAAAGGAAGCAAGTGGGACACGGGAAAACAAGTACAGCGAACTTACAATTTTCCATCAAAATATAAGGGGCATCGAAACAGCTCTAGAAAATCTAAAAGCTTTCTTTGAGACCTCAAGTAATAAACCAGCGATAGTATGCATATCCGAGCACTGGTTGCAGCCAGGAGAAAAAAGTATCTGCAAGATCGAAGGATATAACTTGGTAGCAACATTTTCTAGGAGATACAAGAAGAGAGGTGGCGTATCAATTTATGCTCGAAAAGATGTGGATGACTTCGAAGAACTAGATACCTACTTTTAATGACTACAATCTGGAGGGACACTTTGAAATATGTACAGCTATCAGTAGGACTAAGAAAATGTGAATTTTTTGCATTTATAGGTCATGTCTGGGGGTCTTCAACATTTTCTATGATTTACTTGGAGTTTTGGTTGGAAAAGTGCATGAAAAATACAAAGGGTATGTAGTAGTATGGGGAGGGGATTTCAATGTAAATTTTTTAAGGGAAACTGAAACTATGAAAAAAAGTTAATTTCAAAAAAGGGACAAAGTCCTAGATCTCTTATGACCGTTTCCACCAACTATTTTAGGGGAGCCCTAACGATAAGTATTCCTTAAACTGACATTTCTCCATGTAAAAATGTCATTTTAGGGAATACCTATCGTTGAGGCTCCCCTAAAATAGTTGGTGGAAACGGCCATTAGCCTCATATAAGTATGAACAGACGATATTTGAGGTAACACAGCTTTTGGTGGTATACTCGGCCAATACTTGAACTTATTGTTTCCTATAAGAAAAATCAAACAAAAGGTTCTGAAGGAGACAGGTGGATAACAGGGGGAATAAAAACGCCAACAAAAAATAAAGGAAAGAAAATCAAAGCAATTTCACAATAAATACTGAAACATCCTGAAAAAAGTAATACAAGAAGCAAAGAAACTAAATAATAAAAACTTCATAGAAAGAGCGGAAAATAAAACTAAATCAACATGGAAAGTAGTTAACAAAATAGCGAAAAAACATGAAAAACGACATACACTTTTTGACAACACTGAACAGTCAGACAAGGTGCAGTTCTTAAACACAGTGAACAATTTCTTTTTGAACATCTGCCCTAATATAAATCAAGAAAGCAAAAAAAGCACAGTAGAAATAGTGACACCTGTAAAAAATTCAGTATCTTTTGAGTATGTGACTGAAACAGAAATAAAAACAATTATTAAAAATCTTAAAAACAAAAATTCTGTAGTAAAGGATGAAATTCCAGTTAAAATTCCACACAATCCTGTGCTACTAATATCTGGGTATGGTGCTAGATGGGAAGCTAAACTGGACAGAGCACATTGTGAAACTGTCTGGATCATTGAGCAGATATATGTATGCTCTTAGAATGCTTAGAGATAATGTTGGCTCGGCTGTGTCGCTCTCATCTTACCATGCTTTTGTGCAGTCCAGAATACAGTATGTGATTATTTTCTGGGGAAACTCAAGTGATGCTGCAAGGATTTTAAAACTACAAAAAAGATGCCTAAGAGCCGTACTTAAACTAAAAAACAGGGACAGTTGTAGGGAACACTTTATAAATAATAATGTACACACTATCTATAATCTATACATCTTGGAAGGCATATCATTTATTCTTAAAAATCAAGATCTATTTGAGAACTCAAAAATAAATCATAACTACTCAACAGGGAATAAACAAAACCTTACATCAAAAATTGCCAGAGGAGTGTCAAGTACAGTATCCTGAAGATCTGGAATAAACTACCTGTTGCTTTTAGAAAGCTATCCCAGAAGCTGAAGAAACAACAAACAAAAATTCTTGAATACAAGTGCCTGCTACACAGTCAATGAGTATTTTGAAGATCCAGAAGTTAGGTCACTTGGATAAGTGTTCATGCGCTTTTCTGCCAACAGATCTCAAGTTCTAGTCAAATTTTAAATCCTCGTTATTGTTTTTTTTTTCTGTTTTTTTATGATGTATGACAATATGTCTTTGTTTGTAAAAGTTTTATATGTATGATTGAGATATTATTTTATGGTTATTATTGTTATTAATTTCAAACTATGTATTGTGTATATTTTTAACTACCTATCTATTTTATCTATTTTCTATATTATATCTTTCTGACGAGATTTACACCCGCTGGGTATACAATGTTTCGTATTTGTAGAAAATCGAAAAATAAAGTTCTATTCTATTCTTTTGCCGCCGAGGTCAAATATCTGGGAGTGACACTCGATTGCAAACTTACATGGAACTCTCATATTGCTAGAAGAATACAGAAAGCATGTATCGCCTATGAATAGTGTAGACGTACTATCGGTAAGACCTGAGGGTTCTCCCCAAATGTAGTTATGTTAATTTTTACAACCATCATCAGGCCTATGCTTACCTATGGGGCTATTGTCTGGGGACATAAGGCCGAAAACAAGACCACGTTCAAAGAATGACATGCCTCAACATAACTGGTGCAATGAAAACTACACCAACTAGGGCTTTGGAAGTAATTCTATGTTTGACGGCCCTGGATACGTATGTCAAGGAGGTCGTTTTAACCACAATGATGCGCTTCTGCACTGTTGGAATAGAACCAAGTGCAGAAGTCGGTTTGCAGAGAGTCCGTATATGGCGTGAGACAACGAACTCACTTCCATTGTTGTAGGCCAGAGTGGACTCTACAACACCATGTTTCGTCTTCAAAAAGAACTACGCAATCAAAACGAAAGGCATTGAAAACAACACAGCGGGTAAGTAACATCTACACTGATGGTTCCAAAAATCAAACAGGCTCGGGATGCGAAGTATACTCCAAAGCTCTCAAACTATAGCCCTTGGCTCCATGCCTAATGTCCTCCAAACGGAAATTGCTGACATAATCATCGCCGCCGAACAAATAATCAGCAACAATATCACTGACAAGATCGTGCACATCCACACGGACTGCAGACAAGCAGTACTAGGGCTATCTAGACCGCGAGTCACGTCAGAACTAGTACAACATTGCCACCGGACACTTACCGAAGCGTCGATCAACAATACCCCATACCCTTTTCAAAAAGCGGTGGGACGATACAATTGGCTGCAACATAGCCATGGAACTGCTAAGCTACCCAGATAAAGCTGCAACGAGCCAGAAGCTGTCGTTGACCAGGAAAAGGCTACGCCTAATAAAGGGCATCTTGACTCACTGTCAGTCAAACAAACATTTGTTGCATCTCAGTACCACATCCTTGTGTAGGGCTTGTAATCAAGAAGACGAGACGATAGAGCACATTTTCTGTGAGTGCACTACTCTTTCGCTAATACGCAGAGCCAGATTAGGCCAATCGTACCCATCGCTAGAAGAGATCCGAGGCACCGTCCTCGGCGACGTCATCGCCTACGTGGAATCGCTAGGCTGGATGACGAGCTAAGGATGACCTCTCCTGTTGTGGAAGTGCTCAATGGGCCTCATGTGGCCTAAGTGCTGTGGCATACCATATATACTACCCTCCACCCACAATGCTACATACTATGTCTTAACAGAATAATTCTCATCCAATTCATTGCGTAACAAATGCTTAACGGTCCCAATGATCCGAAATTTTCAATAGGGATAGGATTATTATAATATGACTAGGAAACAAAATAATTTAAAAAGCAGTTCATTTTAGCTGCCCCAAAATTAAAATTACATATTTTGTAAAAAAAAAAAAAACTTTCCGCATGCTACCCAAGTCTGTTTGTCATACCTACTTGTATATCAGGTGCTGGCGAAGGTGACGTCATAGGTTTCGGGCTAGCTCCTCTAGATTCCGATTTCCTAGTGGTCGTCAGCGACAGTGGCACCGAAGGACTTAACGGAGATTGATCTTCAGCCAATTCATCTTCGTCCATATCTGATCCCATATTGGAAAATTCATCTGAAGTATGAGAGTTATGTGGGCCGCGTCTGGATATGTTGTTTTTTAGCCTCGGATCAGAAAGCCTTTCTGAGTTAAGATAGCTATCTCCCAGTAGAAAACCACCGTTCGTGGGACTGGGACTTGTAAAACCGTTAACAGACAAATGCAAGTTTGGATTTATATTTCTGACTTCCGCTCTTTTCTGGGCGGCTCGTGCATTTTTGAACCAATAAACGACATTATTTACATCCAAAGGTTTTCTGCCTCGTCTCGAGTCCAAACTGTTCAGTTCTTTGACGTACTGCTGAATTTGCTGACGACTAGGATGCTGGTTTTCATTGAACCAACGTTGCAACTTTGGTAGTTCTAGTTCAGGATCGAAACTGGTTCTCATTCGAGTTTTCTGGGTGGGGAATTGGTTGTGAACTGTTTGCATAGCAGGATGCGAGTCAGGAATTGGTCTATCGATTGGTGGAGTCGGTTGAGATGATACCGAATAATGGCTAGGGTAAGAAGGAATAAATTGCGACCTACTAGCAGGAATTTGGGTATTGAATTGCGTGGACCACCAAAGATCGAATTTTCTTCTGGTTTCTTCGGGGATTTCCGGACAGTTTGACGTCGTCAGGCTGCTGCGACAGATTTGAGATAGGATTATCTGGAATAAAAATAAATGTATAAGCAAACGGTTTATTATCTTTATAAATATCAAGAATTTATTCTGTACTACGCTAAAAGGATTTGGTCTTAATAATTCCATAAAATTATGCTGCATAATCTTATTAAAAGCGAGACTAGCGTTTATCTTTACACCCTTAATAAAGGGATTAAATTTTCGTTGCCACCATGGACAAAAAATTCTAAAAGAAAGTATCGTGGCTCGCCCCACCTCTATGACCAGTTAAGCCGGAAGTGACAAAAATTACTTATAATATCAAAGTATGTTGTCATCGACCACCAACATTTTAAATGAAAAAATTGGAAAATGAGGCACTTATAAGGTGAGCGTTGTCAGGTAGTTACCAGTAATATGTGGTATGACAGAGCAGGGGTGACAGATAATAATATAGTGACGGAATGAGTTCAGTTTAGCTTGAAATAAATATTTGAAACTATACTTCGTTTATTCCAAATGTCCGAACCTTACATGGTGCTGCGAACAAGATAAGTTTTGAACAAGAATTTTTTACGAAATACGTGAGTATTTCGTCGTAAAGAAAGTTAAGTCAAATTCGTTGTTAGCCCCACGTTTCCTAATTAAAATAAGATGGAAACTTTACGACAATTCAAAGAAAAGTGTCTTAAGGGTGATCCCCACAAATTTTAAAAAATGGGAAACAGCAATTCACCATTTATATGGATGCCTCTGGTTTGAAAGATAATACAAAGGTAACAGCTGAAAGGAAAGCTGCTATTTTCCTACATTCAATTGGAGCTGAAGTACTAGAAATCTATGACACACTAGAGATACCTGATGATGATAAGAAAGACTGGCAAAAATTATTACATCATTTCGAAGTAAATTTCAATCCAAAAGAAAATAAGACTGTTAATCGACACCTATTTCATACTAGAAAGCACTTACAAGGTGGAAATGTTGATATGTTTGTGACTGACTTAAGAAAACTAAGTCAAAATTGTAATTTCGGAGATCTGCGAGATACTTTGGTTAGAGATAGGATTGTATGTGGAATAGAGGACACTAAAGTAAGAGATAGGTTGCTAAGAGAGCCTCAATTAGATTTGAGAAAATGTGTGAATGTGCGTGTAGAGCGTCGAAGTTAGCTGAACTTCAATCAAAAAAGCTAGAAATTGAGACAAATGTTAATATTGTGAAAAAAGCACAAAAATCAGGACAATACAGAGAGTTTACTTCACAAAAAAATCAATATGAAGCCCGAAATCAAAATGAAAAATATTTGCCCCTTCCATCTTGGATGCAATTTCCTCAAAAGTTGGAAGCTGATAACACTCACACACTATGGCATTATTCAGATTTTGTGGGTTTAAACAAATTCGAATACTATTGTTTGGCTTTTTTACAATGACCATAGAACTGCACCACTCAGTTGGTTCAGTCACTTTTCTCAAAACGCCCATTTCCTCCATTTTATCTAGCTCACTTTTAACTGACCGCTGAAGGCTATTGCAATTTTTCTTGGAGGTTCTACAACTGGCTCTACCTTTTTCTTCAACTGAATTTTATATGAATTTGTTTTCACAATGGAGGAAGAACTCCCAGATGATGTTCTAGAAGCCGCTAATTTGGCAAACTTAGAACACCTGCCGGCGAAATCGAAAGAAAAGTATGAGAAGCAATATTATTTATTTGAAAAATGGTATGAAGAAAAAGGTGTGAAGACTTTGAAAGAGGAGGTACTTCTAGCATATTTTCTTAAATTGAACAATGAATTCAGTCCAAATACCTTATGGTCCAAATATTCCATGCTGAAGAGTGTTTTGAAGATCAAGAAAAATGTAGATATAGGCACGTTTTATAAACTGATGGCATTTATCAAGAAGCAAAATGTAGGCTTTCAGCCAAAAAAATCGAAGATTTTTTCGAAAGAAGAAATTTCAGGCTTCAGATGATATATATCTTTTAATAAAAGTTGCCACTATTTTTGGACTCGCTGGTGCCTGCGCCTGCAGACGAGAAGAACTCGCAAAAATGAAGACAAGTGACATGAAGACAAAGGCAATTTAATTGTGGTAAAAATTCAAGACTCAAAAAACTATAATAATACTTCACGTTCTTTCGTCATATCTGGAAAAATAAACGATGGAAAATATTTGCTGTTCTATCGGAAGTATACAGCCTTACGCCCATCAACAACACACCAACGCTTTTTTTGTAAATTACAAAGGAGGAAAATGCACAATACAATGCGTTGGGATCAATACCTTCGGGAAGATGGCTTCTGAGATCGCAGCATTTCTGAGGTTGCCGAATCCAACGCTGTACGCTGGCCATAGCTTTCGGCGATCTTCCGCAACGTTACTTGCAAATTCTGGAGAGGGACTCACGGATATAAAGCGGTTGGGCGGCTGGAAATCGAGCACGGTAGCCGAGGGATACATTGAAGAATCAACTAGCTACAAAAAAGGGTTAAGTAACACAATTTTAAACAGCAGTCCCAAGAAACCATATGAAATGCCCAGTTCGTCAAACGCTATTCGAAAAGTTGAAATGCAAACTTATACCATGCCAACAGTGAGCAGCGAAGCATCATCATCAGCCTTCCCCTTTCCCCTTTCCCCTTTCCCGTTTCCCCTAGTTGTACTTTTAATATTAGTATTGTTAATAATAATAAATAATAATTTTCTCCTGTATTTGTGTTGAAATAAAGTTCTATTATTTATTTTAGAATTCTTCTTTTTTAAGACATTCGTAGAAAAAGTATTGTTCCTGACACTTGCGCAAAGTGTCTTTCCCGCACTCAAAGCTTATCCGAACTCCGCTACGCGTCGTTCGTCTAACTGCTTTTTCGTGCGGGAAAGTATCACTTTGCGCACTTGTTAGGAAAATAACTATTTCAATACTGGACGGCAATGGGGGCTTTTATCAGATCAAGTTGCATAAAAAAAGTGAAATACTCACAACATTAAAATGCTGGGTGTTATGGGCGATATTGTTATAGGAGAATACCTTATGGACTGTGCTCTGCACCGGAATTTTTTCATCGTACATTCAAGAATATTTTTGATGGACTTCCAGGAGTGGAAATTTACATAGATGATGTTATAGTCTAGGCAGCGAATAAAGAAGAACACGCCAAAAGACTGGAAGCAGTGTTAGGCAGAGCTAAACGTGCCAATGTTCGTTTCAATCGACTCAAGCGTAAATTCGGATTAAGTGAAGTACGTTATATAGGTCATGTGTTTACATAATTTATTTACGTCCTGATAAAGACAAGGTGAGTGCTATTTTGCAATTAAACAATCCAAAAAACAAAAAAGAGCTACAGATTTTGCTAGGAATGTTACCTATGTATTTAAGTTTTTGCCCAATTTGGCGGATGTTATCAGCTCGATGGGACAACTGCTTAAGAAAGATGTGGAGTTTATTTGGTCTGATAAAAAAATTATGATCTCAATACAGAGGTTTTGTCAGTTGATAGCAGCAGCCAAGGCTTGGGAGCTGTGGTGTTACCGAATAATTTGCCTGTAGCCTATACCTTTCGAGCATTGACTGCTACTCAGAAGGCATGGGCTCTATATTTATGGAGAAGTAGTGGTGGTTGAAAGTGATCATAAGCTTTTGGAAAATATATTTAAAAAGTCATTGAATGACACACCATTGAGATTGCAGAGGCTTAGGTTGCGCTTACAGCCATATAATATTGTAGTTTGTTATAAACCTGATAAAGATTTATTGTTGGCTGATGCCCTTTCTAGGAACTTTGTAAAGACTGATATTGTTGAAAATGATGATTTAGATAAAGAAGTAAGTGCACATGTTGGTATGATAATTAATGCTTTACCAATTACAAAAAGCAAGTGTGAAACGTTCAAGAAGGAAATATCTCTTGATCCTAATTTGTCATTGTTAATTTTCTATATCCAAACTGAATGGCCACCTTATGAAAATATTCCAGGTAATTTAAAGTATTATCATTCAATCAAAGATGAATTGTATGTAATTGATAATCTTCTTTTTTAAAATAATCTAGTTGAATTTCCAAACAGTTTACATTCAGAAATGCTGAAATTAATTCATATAAATCATTTTGGACTGGAAAAGTGTAAAGCTCGTGCTGAAAAAATTTTGTTTTGGCCACATATGCTTAAACGAATAGAAGATCTGGTTAAAAATTGTGGAACATGCTTAAGATTTCAAAGAACTCATAATCATGAAGAATTGCAACTGAGAGAAGTTCCTGGTGGCCCCTGGCAAGTATTGGGTATTGATGTATTTTATTTTCGTACAAAAACTTTTATTTTGATTATTTCAGCAAATTTTTAGAGATCATGGAATTGAAAAATGAGTCTGCAGAGGCTGTTATAACTATTCTTGAATCCAATTAATTTTGCCAGATATGGTATCCCATTGTTAGTTTATTCTGATAGCGGACCTCAGTGCGAATTTCAAATTTCAAAATTTTTCAAAAACTTGGAATTTTGAGCATATAATGTCAAGTCCATACTATCCTCGTTCTAATGGTACCTATAGCAGAAAGGCATGTGGGTATTTTTAAAACAATACTCAAAAAGGTGGAACATAGTGGACAAGATCCGTATATCGTTTTGCTAGAATATAGGAATACTCCTATAGATTCTGACATAAATAAATCTTCCAGTGAAATTATGTTTGGACGTAATGTGAATGCCTTTCTTCCAGTGCCAGAAAATTTGTCACAAAATATAAGTATAATGGCGAGGAAATTGTAAATAACAAAAAGGTTATTCAAAAACATTTAGAACTCAAGAGGTTTTGAATAAGCATTATCATGACATCAGAAATCATGTTGAACCCAATTTTTTCAATAAAGGGGGGTAATGCACCACGTTCTCATCAGGTTCAACTACCTACAGGCAATGTTGTGACAAGAAATAGATTTAACATTTATAAAGCGTCGCCTAGACATAAGTTTGAGGTGGTTGGATCTGGTTCAGATTCGCAAAGGACAGATGAGAAAGAGCAGAACTTGAACTTGA